CTATTTCTATATTTATTTTTGAAGAAAACCAAAGACAAGAAGCTAGTTTCACACTTATGTCATGACAAAAGGCATTAAGAATTTGACTGCTTTCTCAGATAAATGTGAATATTCATTTAGACAGCTCAACCAAAAAAAAAAAAATCAAGAAGAGTTTATCAAAGTGCTCTTTTTAAGGCAGAGTCACAGGAAAGTTCAATTAATGAATCCACTTGTAATATTTCTTCATTTTCAGTGTCAACAGTAAACGGGTTCCTAATTCACATTTTACTGGCATCAATTGGAGGAAAATATTCATTTAAGCTTGATGTTAGCCCCAAGAGATATTCTTTGATTGCTGCAGAAATCGCAACTGAGATATTAGTTTCAGCATATTTTTCTTGTAATTCAGTTAAAGTACAAAAAGATTTCAGGTTTCTCTTGTTAACTCGCTGTGCCCATAAACAATGTTTTTTAATTGTTGCCTCAACTTTTTTGCAAACTTTGAAAATATTAATTTTAGTGCCTTGTAAATTCAGACTTGTCATTTAAAAGACAAAATATGTCACATGAGTAAGCCACCATTGTTAACCAATCAAATTCATGAAACCTGTCTTTAAATGTACATATCACATCTTTTGCCAATGGAGGGTGTCGCTCCAAGACAATAAAACTTCACCCTTCATTTCAAAGAGTCGTTTCAAAATGTTTCCTTTCGACAGCCATCAAACCTCACAGTGTAGTAACAGATGCTCATGTTCACTTCCTAATTCATTGCACAAAGCAGTAAAGATTCTGAAATTCAAAGGACAAGTTTTTATATAATTTATAAACTTCACACTTTCTCGAAGAGTGGAACTCAAAAGCGATGGCAGAGTTTTCACAGCTAGTGCCTCTCTGTGAGCACAACAATGCAACCATGCAGAGTCTGGCGTTACAGCTCGAATCCGCTGTACAAGCCCAGTGTGAGACCCTGCCATTGCTCAAGCCCCATCACCACTCAGTCCAACACATTTTTTCCAGTTAGTATCACTTTGAATAATAAAATCATCGATTAGCTTAAAAATTTCGGCAGCCATTGTTCTTGTTGGAAGTGGTTTACAAAGTAAGAGATCTAGAATGGAGCTTTCATAATCATATCTAACAAGACACATCAAATTGGCAGCGTCAGCTATATCAGTACTTTCATCCACTTGTAATTCAAAAAACTGACTATTCTGTATTCGACGTACGAGAGTTTCCTCAATATTTTTTGCCATATCTTCAATTCTACATGTCACTGTTTGTTGGGTAAAGACAGCAAACCCAACTGATTTCCTTTTTCCCCCTCAATAAATACGGGAAGTATTAACTTTTCGCCAACAGTATGTGGATAATCTGTCCCGGCTATTAGTTTTGAAACTTCATATGAAGCCAACACAAAGTTTTCATTTGAAGAGCACACAGAAAGTGCACTTTTCATGTTTAAGCAGAAGATAATTAATCTCTTATTTATGAAAAAAAATCTATAGGCTTATTTGCGTATTCTGAATGTTTGCATTCCAAATGGTGTTTCAGTTTTGATGGTTTCATGCACTCATTGGATAGTTCTGTGTGACAGATTATACATAATGGCAAGTGATTACCACTACCAACACTTATAAAACCAAATTTCAAATACTCGGAATAATTGTGGGTCCAAGGAGTTTTTATCTTCTTATTCTCACTTGTATTACGCTGCACATCGTTTGAACATCTGTTCATTGTATTTCCAATCACATTCTTCAGCCATTTATCCACATTGAAGATGAAAACGAGAGGGTATTTAATTGAAAACAAAGAAAACTTAAGCAGTTAACCTAAGACAATGTACATGTCGCACCGCGCAGAAACAGACTGCTGTGTCACGACACGAAAACCAATCTCACTGGCTCGGCCGCATGAAAACACATGCGCATCAAATGGGAAAATACAAAATTCTCAGGGAGCATGTGAAAACAAGAACAGACACAACAAAGTCACCTGGGCAGAGGGTGAACATGACACATTGTTGCTATCCGGCTACACACAAGGAGGCAGGCTGGAGCCCCCAGACCAGGTGACCCCTCACTGCCAGCTTGGAGCTGCTGCATATACTTTGCAGCATACAGGAAGGGAAAACAGCAGCTGGGAGGCTTCCCCAAGCCCCGGAGGCAGGGCGTGCAGGAAAAGGTGGTTGCTGCAGCAGCTCCCCATGCCCGGCACACGAGACTGACCCCGGCCCAGCTCGTACTTATGGGACTTGCCGTTCCCTGGGCCCTACCGCCGCCGGAGTGGCCGAGGTTAAGCACCAACCTTGCCAAGTGGCCTGCACTCCCCTGGTAGTGCCCCTCCACTTTGTCCGTTAAAAAGTAGACATTCCAAGAAATGCACAGGAGCTTGGCTCCCCTACACTTACACAGTGAGATTTAGCTAAGCTTCAGCCTTTACGGATAGTAAGAAAGACAGAGAATATCTTATTGCCTCTATATAAATCCATGATATGCCCACATCTTGAATATTGCAGATGGATGTGGTCACCTCATCTTAAAAAAGATATACTGGCATTGGAAAAGGTTCAGAACAGGGCAATGAAAATGATTGGGGGTTTGGAATAGGTGCCATATGAATGCAGATTAAGAAAGACAGACCTTTCAGCTTAGAAAAAAAGGAGACTACACGGAGATATGATAGAGGTCTATAAAATCATGACTTGTATGGAGAAAGTGAATAAGGAAACATTATTTACTTGTTCCCATAAGAACATGGGTCACCCAATGAAATTAATAGGCAGCAGGATTAAAAACCAACAAAAAGGAAGTTTTTCTTCACGGAGTACGCAGTCAAACTCTGGAACTCCTTTCCAAGGATGTTGTGAAAAATAGGACTTTAGTTCTTTTTTGAACCCTGTTGAATTCAAGGAGGTTAGGTCTATCAATTATTAGCCAGAATGGTGTCCCTAGTCTCCGCTGGGGGCTCGAAATGGATGACAGGAAAGGGATCACTCGATGACCTGTTTCTGTTCACTCCCTCTGGGGGACGTGGCATCGGCTATTCTCAAAAGACAGGATACTGGGCTCGATAGACCTTTGGTCTGACCCAGCATGGCTGCTCTTATGGGACTACCTTTTAAAAGAATATTCAGCCATCCCAGATTAAGGAACAACTGCTACGTGCTAATTACATGAATTTTAGAAACGGAAAGGTATTTACACTCACCTTGTATGAGGCAGCAGTCCTCTCCCTACCTGTCCAGAATATGCATGAGCAACCTCACTTGTTAAACAGGACTGAGGAAGCAATATCACACATCTCCAATATGCGGTTATCCATTTGATGGTTGTCTAAAATTTCTTTTTGTCATATGCTGACAATAATGGCTGTGTAACTAACCCCCGTTTCCTGTGTATTTTAAAACCTCTTGAAAATTTCAGTCAGCTATTTCATTTGCTAGTTTGAGATGAGGCAGTGTCTTTTGGCTATAGTATCACTGCAGGAAGCAGGACAGCTGTTCTTTTAAAAAAAAAAAAAAAGGTTACAGAAACAAAGCCATTCTTGTTCCATCTTTGACTTAATATTTGTTCTAACCCTACCTTCGGGGTAAAAGTAATTGTTAGGACTTTCCAGAACACCAGAATCCTTGGCAAGGTGGGGGTGGGGAGATGCCTCCCGCGTAAGAGGCAGGGCTGGGGACCAGACTGCCCCAGCCAGCCTCTGCCCTTCATGGCCACAACTGCTGTGGCAACCAGGAGCTGAATGGTTGTGGCAGTGATTTCAAGCACCCAGTGTTTGCAGCTGCTCCAGTGGCATGAGCAGGGAGCCTTTTAAATCAAGAGCCTTTGGAGCAGTTTTCCCATTTACTCCCCCTTATCAGTGGCATGCAGGTAGGATGCCCTATCAGAGTCAGAGCTTATCGGCAGAGTCACAAACAGGAGAGCAAAAGGGGCAAGGACTTTAAAGTGCTCCCATGGCAGCACTTTATCAGCTGTGTACAAACGGATAGCAGTGGCCGGCTCTTATCCGTACGCCACACCAGTCTGTACCAATCCACTTTCACCTCTGACTACCTTACATTTAAATAGCTCTTACTCTGCCATAAGTACACACTTATCGTGCTTTTGTGACTTCTCACTCTGCTATCTGCTTCCTTCAAACGCAGATAGGTTTTACTTCATGCCTTAGCTTGTTCTGTTGCAGTTACATGTGCAAGGAATCGGGAGCACAGGAGGAAGAAAATTGTTTAAGCCTGCAGTAAGAGAGGGTAGAAAATAAACCATCCTGTGCAGGAATTCAAAGGCTTTTTCTCTGCCTTAGAAACAGCATGCAGAGATGGTTGGTGATAGCTATTCCTGTTGGCCACTAATGAGCCTGTCTTCCCGTTTTCTTCCTTTGCCTCAGTGTCCAAACACCAACTCTGCTCCAGTGCTGCTTTAGCAATTAGGTACCTCTTGCCACTCATATTTAAGTCTTTTTCCACTTTCAAGAGGAAAAAAGGGAGGGATCACTTAATACCCACCTTGGGCACCCACTCAGACCACCTATCCTCAGCATTAAAGCAAAGCACATCTGTTCCTCTACACGCACTCAGTAAGTTTCCGCACCTAATGTTTTAGAACGTACTTTAATGGGAGCAACTGTCAAAAGCTGGAGTCGCTTCTGAAAGAGTATTGTACAGCCAGGGATGAACCAAACATTTCAATTCAGTGTCAATTCTTCCACATACAAGTTGTGGCAAAAACGTAACTACTTTATAGTACCCAAGTAGGATTTCCTTTTCCTCACGCTCTCCTACAGCGGCGTGTAAATTAAAAGTCTAAATGTGCCACAGAGAAGTTTTTAGTTTAAATTTCAACATCCCTCCTACATGGTCAAGATAGATGTTTTCAGTATAAAACCAAACTGGGGAGGGTAAGCAAGATGCAGCTGTAAGAGAAATGCAAATTTATATTCAGACTGCAGTCAAGTAGAAGCAATCACAATTTTCTACTCCAAGACGAGGGACAGTGAAGTAAGCGGTAAGCATCTCACACCAATTAGCAGTTTTCTTTATTTGTCAACTTATGAAAATTGCAGTATAACTGCTTAAAATCTGCAAAGGTACATTTCACTCAATGGAGCAGGGAAAGCAGCTTTCAAGTGTCTACAGGGGTTTGCTACAGAGTTCCAATAGCAGACCATGTTGTACAGCTTACATTTCACTGTGCTCTCAAGGCAAATTCTATATAATCTCTATATACACATTTTAAACACTGTACTCTTGAACTTTATTGAAATCCCTTGAGTATATACCATAAGCCTTCACACAGTTATCCCAAAAGGAGGTGCTAGAATCTGCAGCAAGATTCCAGTCCACTGATATCTCCTGGACCCCCTTCCCACAGTACCATAGAAGTGCAATCATTTCACACAAGAAAAAAAAAATTCAGTTTTTCCTTTACTCAGATGATCCTTTTCCACAGCAACATAAAACTGGTCTCGTCACAGCTACTTTGAGATGCTGTCATTCGTGACAGTTCTTTCATGCTAAAGCAGGAAAATCCTCAGGGTCATCAGGGTTTGGCGCAACGATTTGTGTCTACAAAAGGAAGAAGGAAATTTAGAAAAATGTGCATATCAAGGACATCATCTGGAGTCCCAAATCTTAAACTCTGAACTCGTTCAATTTTATTTATTTGCTAAATTCCATTAACAGGTACTTAATGTTTATTTCTAAACTGTTTAGTACCCATCACTATTTCTGAGTAGGTACCAGAATTGCACCTGTCACAGTGGTATGGGTACATTTATGGTATAGGGATTAGGGATATTAAATTTCATTTCATCAGCTAATTGAGTAGTCAATGGAATTTCCATCAACTACTCAATTAGCTGATAAAGAGGGAAACTGGGAGCTAACCCCGCTGTGGCTCTGCCTGTAAATGTAGTTACAGCCACCTGGCTCTTACGACATTTAAAAGGCAGTGGCGCAGTGGGGGACGGAGCGCGAGCCAGGATAGCTGACTCCCAGCTCCTGCCCAGTTCTCCACTATGCCTCTGCCGCCCCACAGAAATGGTGCTGGGAAGAACCTGCTTTTAAGCTGGCTCCCCCACAACACCGGCTCTTGCTCCACCACCCCCCTGCCCCAGGGGTGGGGGGGGAAGGGAGAGCAACTAGTCAAGCAGTCATTCAACTACCTGATAAGCATATGCTTATCTGTTAGTCAACTACTCAACTAGCTGCTTACACCCCTAATAGGGATAGTGACTGAAGAGAAAGTAACATTTTCCTGATACTTCAGATTCTAGCAATTGGAAATCTACAGACACGGGAAGCAGCTCAGCATTTATAGTGAATGAGACTGAGTTTTCAAACTCTTCTACTTTTTAAGTTTATTTTTAATTATGTGCAAAAAGCTACAGTGATGCACACTTGATCTACTACATGTTTTTAGAATGCAGCTTTACTAAACAAAAGCACCAGAGGGAATTAATTCTATGTCCCTTTTATAGTTCCAACCTTTAGATGAGACTTATTTTACCCCCGCTGAACTGAAAGAACCATGGGGATTTTACTTAAAACAAAAATATTCCTCCATATTCGTTCCCCTTCAAGAAGTGCTAGGGTATCTACTAGCCGAGATTACCCCAGGACTGTCTTATTTGAAGTAGCTGCCCCATGAAATCTGTATGGGTGCTCAGCACACACTGCCAGCTGCCCAGTTCGATGGGCTCAGATTATCCCAGATGTTTTGGTTTTCATACCTCAACAGTAGCAACTCTAGGTATAGGCAGATAATGGAAAAAAGCCGATTCTATCAGGAGAACTGTTTTGAATCCATTAAATCAAGAGATTAAAAGGAAAGTGGCAGGTGTGATGATCTTTAGTACAGCTCTCTACTCCGGCACCTTCAGGGCCTGACTGGTGCCAAACCAGAGAACTTGCCAAACCATAGGAGGTCAATATTGTCTAGCATCATGACCAACACTTCACTGCTTACTGGGCTCTTAGAAGACATTTAAGGGTAAGCTAGAGCTAAGTAACAGCACAGAGCCAGGACTAGTGGCTCTCAACAAGCTTTATGTGACACGGGAAACTTGGCTGTACCCATAAGTGGGCATAGTAAACTGGTCATGCCCGACCACAGATTTTGCTGGTTTAGAAAGGTTCAACATGTAGTTAAATTACTTTTGTTTCAAAACAATTAACCATTTCTGGTGTGTCATTCATTTAATAGAGTTGTACTGCCAGTGTCTCAACCTGCATCGTCAGATATGCAACATGTATTAGTAACTTCACTCTTGGTAGCATGAGGAACTATCAGAAGCTCATTACACAATTTTGCTTGAAGACTACAACCTTCGGTAAATTTAAGTGCAAATTTGTTTTCCCTGATTGTATCAGAATTCTTTTCAGAAACTGCAAGTTGCTTCTTCTGTACTCCTCTTTCTAGCTGTCATAACCTGAACTCTGACCACTGAATAGGAACTCTTCACAAATAAAAAAAACTATTTGCAACCTGAATTGCAATTTCACCATGTACAGCGATATATACTGAATGCTTTCTATATCAGGCTAAACACCAACACATCCTCAGAAAAAAATTAAAGACTCCAAATTCTTATGTCATTTAGAAATGTATAGGCACAAAAATCAAATTACCACCACTTCTGGACGAGGTCCTGCATCTTCAACTCTTTTGACACGGCCACGACCTCCTCGTGCTCCTCTGGCTCCACGCCCAGGACGAGGAAGATTTCCAAAGTTAATATCCAGCTGAGAAGTTATATCATTAGCTGCTTTTCGGAAGATGTGAGAATCATCCTCGAAATCCTCCTTTAACATCTAAAAGTGAATTTGTCTGTAATTAGTATGCTGCTCAGAGCTTCAAAAACCGTTCTTACATTACAAACCAAAGAGCTCACCAGTAAAAAGTCAGACGTCCTGGGTAGACAGGAGGTATGGGCAGAGGGTGCAACAAGGGAGACCATGACAGTCCCCTCCCATTCTCAGGCTAGCTGTATGCTGACCATAAGCACAAAGGAAACTGCTATGCCACTAGAGAACTCCCACACTGAGCAAATTCTCTGTGGCAAGAGCTAGACAGTTGCAGAGGAATTACATAACCTGGCCCAAGGAGCATATTCATGAGATATCCTCTAGGGAAGAGCTGGGAAGGAATAAGACTAGAATACTGCAATTTACTGCTCAATTGCTATCACTATATTAGCCTTGCCACACACAGTTAAAGCTATAGTGCTACTGTACAGAGCAACAGTTAGCATTAATATAGGTAGTTAACTTAATATAGTCCATAACAGTTTTTATAATACACCGCTAGTGCATGATAGTGCTATAAAAAGGTGTAGCAAGTCATATTCCCCTCCTTCTCATCCTGAAGACTAACAGACTGCATGTTAAGCAATACCTGTGACCAGACAAGTCACTACTACTCTAGGGCACATTTCTTATCAAACTAGGACCCCTCTGTGCTGCTGGACATGAAGCCTACTCAGGAGTAAAATAAAATTTAAGGATCATTCTTCAGATCCTGTGAAAGACAGGCCCTGAACTCATTAGGTTTGTGATTAGGAGAAGTCTAAAGCTACACTAAAGGAACACAAAATGTAGGATTGTAGACAGCCTACCAAGTACAATTTGCCCAAAAAGTTATCACAATCCAACAGTGACCAACATATGTTGAATCAAATTTTTTAATTCAGATTCATTGGTGTGTAAGAGACCTAATCAAGGATCAAGCTCCCATCATCAAGCCCGACACTGAACAAATGAGGACTTCCCTGCCACAAGAAGCTTATAGTTTAAGTAGGCAAGAAACTTTGGTAGAAATCTGGTTTCACTGACATCAGTGGGGCCAAAATTTCACCCTACAACTTTCGTTACAACAGTGCAGTGGCTCTGAGCAGAACAAGAGTTATAGAAAATAAAACAAGCTCTCTTAGGTCACTCTAAGAAGCAGAATAGCAGTTCTTAAAAACTGTCCAGATGCTCTCAAAAGTGGTTCAGTGATAACTGCAATGCAAAAATTGTCCAGATACAGGACAAATTGGTATCCAGAATAGTGATTATGCTGGGAAACTGAATTTCCAGTACGCACAGATAAAAATGCACTAGTACAGCAATAACTAAACACAGGTACATCAAAATGTGATGCAAAGTTAAAATACAAGAGAAACTTACTAAATAGAGTTCACTAGTGCCTACAATTAACAGAATTGAACAGGAGGTGGCAGAAGCAAGCAGGCAGACTTCAATCTCCTAGAACTAAGCCGTAAAGTAAGCAGAACGGAAACTTAACTTGGGCAAAATACATACTTGATATGACAAGTATTCCATGTTCATAATAGAAAAAGGATGCCTGGAGACTGGACAAAATGTATCTGACAGATTTTTTGCACACATGGTACAGCAGCCTGAAACATGAATGATTCTGAACAAACTGGAAATAACCAATTTTAATGTAGGAGCCAGTGTCCTAACCTGGGGAGAAAGCAGAATTTAGAGAAGCCCAAGGCAATGCTTACATCATCTCTATACTTTGACTTGTGAATCACCACTGCTTTGGAAGGAACAGTGGATTCAGGCTTACGGATGTTGAATTCAGGCTTGGGTCGATTCTGTTGCTGCAGATTTTTCCACTCATCTAACGTCATTTCTTGAGCTACTTCTTCCACTGGCTCCCCTTCAGCAACTCTAAAGGTTTATAGTTGTAAAGTAAAAACCATTAGCTTGTGGCATTCCGGGAAGAACAAAAAAACCTGAAGTAAATCTATTTTGCTAAGCACAATATTTTAAAATGCTTCAGATTCTCTGCCATCTCTGAATTTTATCTGAAGAGCTTCAATACTAAGGAAAAACACACCTGAAGCACAGACCCAATTACTTTTAATAATTTCTCATGCTGTATTTGAAACCAACCCATTAGCTATTGCTGCCTCTCACGTCCCTTATTGTGGGAAGGTTTGACATAGCCGGAAAAACTAACAAAGGCCAAGGAATACAAACTCCAGAGTAAGCCAGTCTGCACAGACCCTGCAGCAGTTTTGCTGGTAGAGCTACTTCTAGCATAGGTCAGCAGGTTTGGACACCACTGACCACAAGTGTTTGTTGGCCTGTCCTGTCAACTGACACGGGTAGACAGAATCATGCTTCAGAGAATCATACTTCTTGAAAGATCCAGGATGTTGTTTTGTGTAATCACTTGTCTGCCCTGTAGATCTTCTCTTGAAAAATTCCACAGGATTCTACTTTGTTAGCTCTTTTATAACATGTGCATAGGAGACCAAGGGAGAGAATTTAGACTATTAGTTATGAATATGCATGTAACATGCAGCTCTGGTATCAGACCCAAATGATGTGGTTAATTACCTGGCCAAGAAAGGCACAAATGAGATCAAGCTGGCCAAAGGAATGACAATACTGGTTTACCCCAGGAAGAACATGAAGTATGACAAATAGACAAAAAAAGCAAGCATATGCAGGGCAGACAAATATCAGAGAGGTAGCAGTGTTAGTCTGAATCTGCAAAAGCGGCGAGGAGTCCTGTGGCACCTTATAGACTAACTGAAGTGTAGGAGCACAAGCTTTCGTGGGCAAAGACCCACTTCGTCAGATGCATGTCATCTGACGAAGTGGGTCTTTGCCCACGAAAGCTTGTGCTCCTACACTTCAGTTAGTCTATAAGGTGCCACAGGACTCCTCGCCACTAAGGCAGACAAAGTTCATAATCTGAGAGTCTTCTAGACCTGATAGCTAGTGGATTCTCAAGATGAAATAGAAAGTGGCTTCTGGCCACCACTTATTAACATCTGGCTAGACTTCCCACAATCTAAAATTCAGACCATGACATAATCCAGTCTGGTACAGTTAACTATTACAATATGCTTCAAACATGACCAATGAGAGACATTTGGAAGCTATAACTACTAAAGAAAGCCACCGCTCACTATGTGGTGTTAGCTGCAGGGAGCTTATCACATTAGTTTCTAGTTTTAATTCACAGCGTTGATATACAAATGCGTTTTGGATCGTGGTCAGCTGATAAGCTGTTTCTTTCACAATGCATTATCACAAGAGTAGAGATCAAGGAATTCTACGAACAGGTTTTGAATGTCCTAAAGCTTGTCAGGACATTTTATGGTGAAAGGCTCTCAAGATCTTTATTTCGCTTCTCTTGTTGGCCCCAAGCACACCGCTTTTGATCAGTAGGGCTTGGTGTACAGTAGATTTTCTTCATGTTGTAATTTGAAACATGAAATGGAGAACATTTTATGTTGGAGGCATGAGGAGTAAAAAATAATTTCAGAAGCATATGATTGTTTTTCAATTATAGGAGTGCATTCAATGCACAATCAGTGAGTTCAAAGATTATTTTATGGGACCACACCCATGATAAGCAGACATCTGGCTAATATCATGTTGGACCAGAGAGTGCTGGACTAGAGAGGTTTAACCTGTAATTATTATATTTTTAAATAATTCTCGGTAATCGAGAAGTCCCAATTATATAAACCAAGAAGACCAATCTTTTGTGTGATGTTTTTATTCTATGAGAATACCTCTTCTTAAAGCAACAGGCACTCACACGGAATTATTTATAAAATCAGATTGTCTGAAGCTTTGCAAAGAACATCTCAATATTGATGAACACTCTTTTGTCCTCAGTTTATTGAAGCTGCTGATGCTCTCTGTATTATTGCTGGGTATTATTTCTTTGGTTCGTAGATTGATTATGGACCATGATTTATTTGTTCCTTTCTAAGGGTGTGTCTAGACTACAGGGTTTTTTTGTTGTTGAAAAAAGTGGCCTTTTTTCGAAAAAAACTTCCTCTGTGTCTAGACTGCTTGTTTTACGAGGAATAAAGCCTTTTTTTTGAAAGTGCCCTTTTGAAAAAAGGCGCTATGTAATGCAAACTGCTTTTTCGAAAAAGAGCATCCCGACTGCCTGAGTGTAGATGCTCTTTTTTGAAAGAGGCTTTTTCAAAAATATCTTTTGAAAACACCTCTTTCGAAAGAGGCTTATAGTCTAGATGTAGCCTAAAGGACTTATAATGAAGAAACGCATCTGGGCGTCCCACCGCTCCCGTCCTTCGGGGCGAGAAAAGCCCCATTCGTAACTGCGGATCTGACATAAGTCGGATCCACGTAATTCAGGGACTGCCTGTATATGAGAAAGGTCTTACTCCTTTCAACTTGATCCTGCAGTAGAAGGTCAAAGCTGACAGATCTGTCTCCATGGCAACAAAGTGGTGTCACTTTACTGCAGGATGTAGCAGGAGAAGCTTGGTAAAGAGAACGCACTTAACTAAATATCAATATAGGAAAAAAAGCTGCAGAGGTAGTTCCACCAGAGATAGTCTTGTGATAAAACATTTGCATTTTGGCAGTGCAAAGAATAGTCAGTATCATGTGTTTTGAGTGCATGTTATTGAAACAAAACCTGGGTTATAACCTTGAGTCGGTGATTGACTCCTTTGGTGTACTGATTGTACAGTTTGCAGTTCTGAGAAATTGATGTTATGCTGTTGAAAATTGGTATTGTTATGATATTTTTCCTGGGGACTGTCTCATTTTTCAATCTGTTCCTCCAGCAGAAAGAGCCAGTCAGAGATAGATTTTGTTCACGTTTCTAATCCCACTACATGCATCTGACGAAGTGGGTCTTTGCCCACGAAAGCTTATGCTCCTACACTTCAGTTAGTCTATAAGGTGCCACAGGACTCCTCGTCGCTTTTGCAGATTCAGACTAACACGGCTACCCCTCTGATACTTTGCAAATAAGGTTTTTTATAAAACAAGTGAATAATCAATAATAATGAATAAATTACATAAACCTATCTCTTGGCACGTCTCAATAGTCTTGTCTAAGAATATCACAAATTATGTTCAGTTTACAGAAGCCAAAAGTCAACGGTAACTAGCAGTGAAAACCCTTTTTTCTAGTGCTGAGTAAGAAGGTTTAGCCATGACCCTGGGAGCATAAATCATACGGGGAAGGATTATATGGTTTGTTCACTGTGTTGAAGAGGGATCTAATGGAAATCTACATAAAGGTACACTCCTTCAGGAAAGCAATGAAGCCAATAAAATTAAGCAATGAAGCCAATAAGATTAAGAGTATTAAAATTCTTCCAGAATTCTCATTGTATTGCAAAAATGCTAAAGATTATAATACAAGAGGAGGCGAGATTCTACTAAAGAACAAGAGGCCAATTTGAAGACTAAGTGCCGCAGACTGGAAAGCAATGAGGGAGCTGGTATTGGGTATGCATCTGTATACCACATGCCAACTGCCCAAGAAGTGCATGGGAGTACAAATTCTAGAGATCTTCCAGGATAGTCAGGTAGGCAGCTTGAATGGATCCTTTCTTTGAAGTACCAGTTTTATCTGGCAAGTAAGAAACGGATCCAGGTGAGGGTCTGAAATTCTGACACCCCAAAGACTAGTGTCGCCTTTTAACAAAAGACCTGGAGAAAAGAATTTCAATTTAGGCTATTGTGGCAAACTACATTGCGCACATTGAAAGACTACTTGAAAGGTGTTTATATTTTTATTTTATTTTATATTTTCATCCTTCTGCTCTCTACATTTACTGAATGTTTTTATTAACTGAATACAGGGATTGATAGGTTTGCAATACCTTGCAGAGTCCCCCATCTGGGGCCTCAGGGCAGGACTGTAATAAAACAGGTTTGTAATTCAATTAGTTTGGTATTCCTGATTATACTTAAAAGGCTTTAAGTAATGTTTCACATTGAAACAATTGAAAAGCAAGGTCTCATTTCTATTTTTTTTGGATGTAGCCCTTTGCTAAGCATTAGTTAAAGGTCTTTTCCTTGCAGAGATTGCTTTGTTTGAAGGAACAGTAATACACAGAAGGGTTATATCAGTTATAAAAAGTAGCCAACACAACCTTAAGAAATGATAAATGCTAAAAAAAATGGGTTAGTTTGGTGGAAGTAAAAGTTTTATTTACTTTACCTTCAACTGAAAAGATTCAACCCACATCATGTAACTAGCTGATGATGTGGTGGTGGTGTGGGAAGAATAAAAAGCCACAGCAATAATATATGTTAGTTCCAAAATTAAGACAATTAGCCAAAGGGCTAAGAAAAAAAGTTAACCAAGCTAGTAAGTGGTTCCAGAAGACCAACAACTCCCAATAAATCAGACATTCAACACAACCAGTTGAGTAGACAAACCTGAGAAATGTACTCAAAGTGAAGATTTGGCTACACCTATAGATTAGCTTTATATGATTATTAAAATAGTAGCCAGATAAACAGATCAGCAAACTAGACGATGGGAACTTGAAGTTTCCTAAATAAAGACTGATCAGAGGGTTGCGTGGAAACACTAGCAGTAATTAAATAAATTTATTAGCTGTTCCAGGAACTGAAAAAGAATAGATTTAACAATAACAGTAAGTAGAAGATCAAGGAAATAAGTAATCTCAATAAGAGGTAAAATAAGAAAACAGAAGAATAGATCTGTAAATATTAATATTCCAGGCAGTCCCCGACTTACGCGGAACCGCACTTACGAACGGGGCTCTCTCGCCCCGGAGCTCACAGGCAGCGGTCAGCCACCTCGAGAAAAGCTGCTCCCGGTGCCCCTGGTCTGGTCCAGTAGCGCCGAGGAGCGGTGCTACTGGAGCAACCCAGCAGCACCCCAGCTGCTCTGCCCCAGACGTCCCCAAGTCAGCAGTTGCTGAAACTGACCAGCGCTGACTACAGGAAGCCCAAGGCACAGTTGCTCTGCCCCGGGCTTCCTGGAATCAGCTGCTGATCAGTTTCAGCAGCAGCTGACTTGGGGTTCTTAAG